GAAATGCGTAATAACCTGGCCAGGCAGATGATTTCTGAAATGGCCCAGATAAAAGGTAAATGTTTAGATTGTCTGCCCACTGTGGTAACTGTTGCTGTGTGAGTGCTACAGCATTTAAAAAGGCAGCAAATATTGCTTTTTTTGTTTGTTTTGTTTGGTTTTTTTTTTTTTTTTAAGAAAAGAGGTATATTATGTGTAGCTTATTGATCCTTCCTTCAGCCAAGAGGCTGATTGCAGGATTGTTTGATTGCTCAGCTAATGGTCTGACCAGCAGCAATTACCATTTTCTCATGGGGAGAGCCAAGGTAGCTCTATAAAGGGGGGGTGGACACTTGGGTAAGGTTTGGTTTTGTTTCAGCTGGGGACATTTTAATACAAGCACATGTGAGAGGCAGGCTTTGGGAACGCGTGGTTCTGGAGAGGTAATTGGTCACAGTGAACTGGGTTTATGTTTCTTAAATGTCTGTAATTAAGCTCGACTTGAGATGCAGAGTGAATTGATTCTTTTTAGGAATCTTATTCTCTTTCCCCTCTAGTCGCAGACCAAGGTACCATCATATCAGGATGTGTGCAGACAAAACAAAAGGAAGTCCCAGTAGATAATATATACCAGCAGTCTGCTGCCTTCCTAGTAAAGACAACACGAAAATATCAAAGCTATTTGGAGAATGAATTTGAGGATAGATTTTTTTTTTTTTTACTTGCCTAACAGAATCTACCTTGAGAAAGAAATATTGATTCATTTTCTGTCAGTTGTAATTTTTTTTTTGCAGTAGATGGTAAAGGTAGCCTTTCAGAAATCCAAATTTTCCTGGCACATCAGAGCAAAGGATGTTGTAGTCCTTCTGAGTGCAGACTAACAAGAGTTATGCTTGCCAGCGTGCTTACCCCCTTTTTGCATCTTCAGGTAGGTCTTTGGGACTGCTCTAGAGTCACCTCCTGGACTTTATTCATAAGCAGGAGCTCAGATCTGGACATGTTCTTGCCAGTCCTGGGAGGACACAAGCCCAGTCTGGAAGGTCTTGACGCCAGTTCCACTGGGACCATGTGGTGGTTTCATGGCATTGCCCTTTGCAAAATCACAGACTCCCCTGTAATCTTTGTTCCTGTGACCTTGTTTGCAAGTTTAGTAACTTAATTCTTTTCACTGTAACCCCTGAGGATGTTTCTTTGTTCCTGATTTTTTTTCTCCTGCCCTTCTCCAATCCATTTCCAATTCTGAAAAATGGAGATAGAGTAGCAAGCACTGTCCTGCAGAGCTGTGAGATTTGTTTCATCTCTTTCTCCCACCCTGAGAAAAAGCTCTTCACAGCAGAACACAAATTCCCACAACAGCAAGGCTTCAGATTTCAAGTGGCCAGAGCACCCAGCAATAGGAAATTCAGATTGAGTCCGAGAGCCGCATCCTGGCCAGAGGTCATTGAGGCTGCACTGCTGTGGCCAAGGTGGTTGCCTTCAAAGGAGGTCAGTCATCACCACTACTCAGAGTAGTAAGTGGCACCTGTCCTACACAAACCTGCCTTCTGGCCAACACAACAAGCTTTGGTGTTGCAGAGGGTAGAGGGTGACGCAATATGAAGATGTGGAGAGAGACCTACCTTCGCTGTATCCTTGGGCAGTTCCCTCTCCAGAGGCACCTGCCATTGCTGAGTAATTGGCTCAGCTAATTTGTAACTTGGCTATTTTTATGTAGTGTGTAAATATTTATTTGCATAAATATTTATTTACATAAATAGGACTGCATATCACCGATATATGAAGTGATAAATTAAAAGTGTCACAGAGGGATGTTTACAACTCATTTGTTTGATGGATTTATTTTTTTTTAAGGTTGAAAAGGGGGAAAAAAAAGGTTTTTTTTTCCTTTTCTTTGCCAAAATTGAGAATGGATGAAGGGTTTCACATTGTTTATCTGTAGAAACAATGTGATTTATCTGTAGTCTTGGTCCCTGAGAGTGAGCAATGCAGCAAGCAGTTGTAATTTAATACTAAGCCGATGAGAGGTGCATTGATTTTTACAGCAGGTGAAGATTATGCAAGAACAGCCTCTAGCATTACTTGTGGAGTAAGGGAGGGAAGTGGCTAATTTTTTGCCTAGTGGTGACAGTATAGATTTTTTTTTTACACGACTCAGCAAAAATACTGTTCTACGGGTATCACAGCAGCTTGCTTTAGCTTTTGATTTCCAGTTAACATATCTTGACAATTTTGCTATATCTAGGTCTTCTTTTTTCCTGAGGACTGAGCATGTTGTTTATTTGCTCATGATTTCTGGAAAGAGAAGAGAAGGAAAGGTAATTTTAGTTTTAGTTCCTTGCAGGCACCTTGTGAGTATTTCATGTTCCCTTCCCCATTTGAAACACTTATGTGATGGTCTGAGAACAGAAGAAACTCATTTTACCGATGGAATCTCAGTGTTTTGTTTGCAGAGAGCTTGAGTTGCTGCTGGGTGCATGTAGGGGGAAGAGGGAAGGCAAGGAGAGCCAGGCGTGTTCCTTGTTGTAGCTTCTCAGCTCCATTTGCTTTAAACTTAAACTTTTTCCTAAATCCTCTCCTACAAGAACCTCCTGTTGAAAATAGCGGGGAATTCAAGCTCCTGTTTTCATTTATGACTCAGCAAAGTTAACCATGTGTTAAATTACTGAAGCAGCTTTGATGTGATTTCCTGTGTGTGGAGAAGTGGAGAAAGCCAAACCTCTTATGTTCTGCTTTACTACCCGATGTAAAATAAAAGGTGCTCCTTTAGTCCCCATCTCCATCTGAATATTTCACTCCCATTTGCTTTCATCACATGTACAGCGAGGACAGCAGAAGCAATCGTTTACATCCTACAGAACACAGCTCTCTTTGGGAGAGCAGTACTTACAGGTGCTGCAGGAAATAAGTTTCCCTTCGTAGCAGGAGGAGGAGGTTGGTGGTATAAAAAAGTGCATCTGCAAATAAATTTGGCAACCTCTGCAAAGGCTCCTGAGACACTGGGACTGACCATTATTCAAAAACCTTGATCTAGCACTGGCCCTGCTCCAAGAGCTTTGTTCTCTAAAGGTGCCCTGACAGGGACTTACCCTCCAGCACTGGAACGGGCGATGCCTCCTTCGCTGTAAGAGAAAGTGCCCAACGCTGCTCATCAGCCGAAGGAGACATGTCCCCACAGGTGGGATTGCTCTGGCGCAGTGACAGCGAGCTTTGGCAGCCCCTCATTGAGTCGGTGGGCGCGAGCAGGGCTTGTGCATCGTCCCGATGGTCGGCAGCGAGAGGCTGTGCCCTGCCCAGTTCCACCGGTAGCCACGCTGGGCGTTAGACTTTGTTTGCCCAGTTGAGGAGGCTGCTCTCTCCCTCTTGGCCGTTCCTTCCCCATCGATGGTTCCGAGCAGATCGAGAGGCTGAACGGTAGCAGTCTGGTTTGTTAAAAGATAAATATCTACAGTGTGAGACGCTGATGCTGCAGGGTCCATCCACATCTCCGAGCCTCTCGCTCAGTATGCTCCATTTTGTCCTTCTTCAAGCATCCGTGGGAGATAGGTATTACAACTCTGGTGATATCAAAATCCAGTGTGCAGAGACATCACAAGTAATGTTATCCCTGAAGAAGGCTTTTCTCATTTTTTCTTCGGTTATTTTGGGGAAAACACTGCTCTCGTGGCACCAGCTGGCTGGCTGTCTCTGTAAACCTTCCTTTTTTTATTTTTTTTCTATTTTTTTTTTTTGCTGCTGTGAATCAGAAAATACATTGAAATTTTCTGTAGCGGAGGGAAGGCGGCAGTTGGGCGTCTGTTAATAGCCTCAAAGTAACTAATGAGGATGTGCAGTCAGAGCGATTGATTGAATAGCTGCAGTCCTGTGTGTTCCTTTTTTCACTCGCTCACTTGCTCGCTTGCTCTCCGCAAGCTGTGGGAGGGGAGGGGGAACAGAGAGACCCAGCTTGCTCTTGAGTGGAAGTAGCACGGATCCCCAGGGCCAGGCAGCCAGGAATGGAAGTTTAAGCTGCATCTGGCTCTTGAAAGGAAAACGGCAGGAGTCAAAATGTCACTGTCTGGAGTCACTGCTTACTCCTGCTCTTTAAGATTCTGAAGATAACAATGGACTTTCTGCTAGGAAGTGATTTTTTCCCTCCCCGTGTTGGGGGATGTTTTGTGAAGCTGGATTCCTTTAAGTCTGGCAATTGAGCTGGAGATGGGCAGCAGTTGTGATAAAGGTATCTGTATCTATATCTGTGTCTATCTAGCTCTCTATAAAAATGCATTTATGTAGAGTATATGTGTGCTTGTGTAGAGATTGTCAATAGTGGGTATACTTTATTGTACTATTATTACAGTATTTATACTAGAAAAAGATACAAGTGCATCTTTTATGAATATTTGTGCTCCTCAGATCAGCCTGCATGGATTTAAGATGCCAAAGTCGTATCTTAGTAAAGTCATATTACCAGAATGAGGAGAAGTTGACCTATTTTTTTTATCTGCAGAGAGATATATGTCATATTACCCGGGCAGTTCTGAGTCTTCTGTTGGTTGCATGGTTGGAGCAAGTAGTGTGATCGTATAAGACCGAACTTTGACCTTTGTCAAATTGTGTTCAGCTCTGATTAAAACTGAGCTTCCCTGTGTCTTGATTTTAGTTATCTGTTAATTGCTGCATTGCTTATGTAAAAAAAAAAAAAAAAAAAAAAAAAAAAAAAAAGGCATAGTTTCAGATGCTCTGAATACTATCTCACAAACAGTGATAGGATACTAAGTATATTGGGGCATTGATCTTTACCAGCATTTTTATTTTAATTGCCTATTGCCTACGATCAAGTCAGATTCACAACCTTGAATCTGTCAGTGGAAATGCCATTGTAATTTAGTAAGTAAATAAGATGTAGGACAGTAGGTGAGTGTAATTCAGCAGTTTAGTGATGCACTTGAAACTTTGCTGAGGCGTCTGTCCTATAGAGCATAAAACCTGACTATTCCCCACCCCCCGGCGCCCATTCACCACCTTCTTCTTCTCTTCTTTAGAGGTCCCAGCAGAGAGATCTCCTCGCAGACGGAGCATCTCCGGGACCAGCACCTCTGAGAAAACCAACTCCATGGATGCTTCGAATACTTCTCCTTTCAAAGTGCCAGTAAGTGTGCCTTTCCTGCAAAGGAGGAATTCTTCTCATTGAATTGGAGGAGGAGATTAAATTATCACAGTATATAACTAAGCTCTTTAAAAGAAAAGAAAAAGTATTTAGTTAATAGTTCCAGTTGACCAAGAGGTATTGCTGTCAACTGTCATGTATTAGCAATGAGATTTCTGGTAGATCTGTGACTTGCTTATTTTCATGGGATTGATCTAAAGTTGCAAATAGTGAAACATCAGTGTTAATGTGGGCAGCGACCTATATAAATACTTTTGAAGTCGCTGCCAGGGATTGCATTACATATTCAGTTTTGACGAGGAAAAACGTTCCTTTTGGTTGGTGAGATCATGTTATTTTCCCCTCATGCCAGTGGAGTACATAGAAAATTGAAATGGCTTTATAGTTTACTGGGAAGCTGATGAAATTTCTGCAGATGTGTTAATTGCTCTTCATCTCTAGTTTTTGTTGTGAGTTCGCTTTGGCTGTGAGTCTGCACGAGACCTTTTCAGCTCAAGTCTGGATTTTCTTGCTTGTGTCAGTCTTTGGTCAGTGTATCCAAGAGCACAAAGGCCTTTCTATTATTAGACTGAGGGCAAATGCCTCAAGTTAAAATGAGGTCTCAGTAATGGTTTAACAATATTTGTTTGTGTTTTAAAATATCTGACTTTAATATTGCAAATATTGTCATACTCCTCTTTATTCCTGGCAAGTGATCTGCCTGCTTTAGAACCTGAGAAAAAGCAGGAGGAGAATTATCTAGTGAACATTAGGGGTTTTTTAATATTCCCTGTGGATATGAGTACCATTTCTGTACCTTAGTGTATATATTCTTGCTTTGCTTTAGGTAGCACTCATCCCTTCTAAGTGACTTTAGACCCAAATGTGTGTGAAACTTGTTTTTTGATTAAATACTACATTGTATCATTTTAAAAATAATAAAAAAACCCCAATGATTTAATGAGAGCTATTTAAATTATAAAAGGATTAAGATTGATCAGAGTGTGTAGAATATATAGTGTTTAGAGCAACCTGCAAACTCACGATTTATTGGAATTGAAAAAGCAACCAAGGAAGCAGTGGATATACTGGGTGTCCATACCTGGTCCCTTTTCAGAGTCATAGTTTGAGAGGTTAGAAGGGACCTCTAGAAGCCTGATCTACCCCCCTCTTCAAAGCTGGACCAACTTAGATCAGGTTGCTCAGGGCGTTCTCCAGTCAGGTGTTGAAAACCTCCAAGGATGCAGATGGCACAGCCTTGCTGGACAACCTGTTCTGATCTTTGACTGTCCTAATTGTGAAGAACATTTACTTTGTACAGACTTTATTGGCAGAACAAAATTTGAACTTCTAATGTCTATCGAAAGACTGTGAATCACATTTTCCTCTAGTTCAAAAAATATCTAAAGTAGCAGTTAAAGCAGAATATATTGCTCAGCCTTGAGAAGAGAAAGCTCAGAGGGAAATCTTAGCAATGTGTATTAAGTGCCTGATGGAAGGGAATAAAGGCGACAGAGCCAGGCTCCTTGGACAAGAGGCAGGGAGCACAGATTGAAATGTTAGAAATACCATTTAAACATTAAAAAAACCCTTTTTCCCTGTGAGGGTGATCAAACAGTGGGAGAGGTTGCCTGGAGAGGTTGTGGAGTCTCCGTCCTTGGAGATATGTTCAAAAGCAGAATGGACACATGGTCCCTAAGCATCTTGCTCTAGTTTCATCTACTTTAAGCAGAGGGCTTGGACTAGCCAGTCCCCAGAGATGCCTTCTCACCTCAGCTATTCTGTGATTCTGTGAACTATCCTCTTGCACTTCAGTGACCTGTTTTCTGGGTGGTACTTGGGGAAAAAATTGATCTTGGTCTAGTTGCATGTGAAGTTGTCACAAGAATATTCTGCTACGTCAAGGTCTGAGAGTTTTATGCTGAGCCCATAGTCCGCAGGGCTCCAGGAGGATTTCTGAACTCTGAGGGCCTTCAAAAGTCTGAGCTATTCTTTTCTTCAGTTACAAGAAGTTCTCTGTGTTCTTTGTCTTCATCTGTAAGTAGTTGCCCTAGCCTTTAGATGGATACCTGCATTGTTGTAGTCTTTGTCTAGCAACTGCAAGCTTCGTATCAGAAATGTTTGATTACTACCTACCTGTACTGTTTATTTTATATGCCTCTTTTTTCTTTGTTCCTCATCTTTGTACATTTTTTTAACGTTGATCCATTAACTAATGTTTTAATGTTTCTTTAATTATTCTCTAATAGTTCTCTATACTCTTAGCTCCTGCTTCCTTTCAAAATAAGATCTTTGTAGAATGTTTCTCATTTTCCCTGGCAGGGTATTGGGCTTTTAGGACTCTGGCAAATAGGCTCAGGAAGCAGTACCTGCCTTTCTTGGGCATAAACCAGCAAAGAAATGAGAAGGTATTTGTGCCACGTGTAGCTGGGATGATGCTTCTTTGTCTGCCTGGCCACCTGTATACCCAGGAGCATAATGCACCCTCCTGTCTTTCTCATAGGGACAAGGCTTCTGGCTTTGTAGGTTTTGCTCTGAATAACCCATTTATATGCTGTTACTCCTTAGCAGGTTGTGGTGCAGGTGGGGGCTGAGATCACCCTGTTTTAAACCACGCCAACTTCTGATCTGTTTAAAAGAGCAAGGTACAATTAGAAGTCAGATTGCTTAAGAATACAGATGAGTTCAAGCCAAAACTACTGAAATAAAATCCCCCGTTAACTAGGTGTGGATTGGCACACACCTAATGGGTGGATGATAAGATGGGGAGGAATCGTGTTTCTTCCTTTGATTTATATGAAGAATTCCCCAGCTCTCAGAAGCAGGTAAGATGACTTGGGTGCCTCGTGGAAGTCTCAGATCACTGGTCTGAGAAGAGCTTCAAGTGGAGGATGTAAGGAGCACCTATAATGGCTTTGAATTTGTGTGTGTGTGTGTGAGGTCGTCTGTATTTGACAGGGATTTATTGGACATCTAAAGGGGACTAATGATAAGCAAACTTGCATTTTGTTTTTCCAAACATTGACACCTACAGTGTAGGCTGGAGGGCTGGAGGCAGCTGCAGTGTAGTGCTGTCTCAGTTATTCTTTCCGTGGACCTGACTCTGTGCCCGTACCTCTTCTACTCACTGCTTGGATTTCTAATAGAAAGCAGCTTAAGGCAGGGGACAGCTTAACCTTCTTCCATACTGATGGAAAATTATGCTGAGACTTTCATAATAAGTTGCTTTTACAGCTGTTTAAGTTTGCCTCTCAGAAAAGCTATTTAAAAGCTGTCTTCTCAATAGGACAGTGGCTTCCAGCATGTTCTGTGCAGTTTTGTTTGGTTTTTTTTCCTTTCAAACACCAGGCAGTGGTACTCACTCAGAACAAGGCATCTGTTTTTTTAATACTGCTAATTGGCATTTGTTTAGCATCTGGAATTTTGATTCATACCAGCATAATGGCCCTTAAGTGAACATTTCCCTGACAAGACATTTTTTATGTCATCTCTTCAGTGGCGGTGGTCAACGAAGGATTTATTTTAAGGGGCTGATGTGTAAAGTTCAGGAAATTTGCCTTCCCACCTCCTGCATGTGAACTGGAGGAAAAGACGTCTGTTTAAATGTACTGTTGTGTGAAAAGTAGAATTTCAGTAGTTCTAAACATACTCTTTCTCAGGGCTAACCACTCCATGGACCAGCACGGGCAACATGTTTGTTCTGGTTATCTCCCACCAAGGGGAATAACGTGGACTCTGGTAACGCTGACATTGCACAGCACGAGGCGTACGTACGGATATGAGAGCTCTTGGTGCTTGTCCTTTCTTTTTCTTCCCCGTTTCCCCAAATGTCTGCAGTTAAAACATTAGTCCCCATCTAGGTTCAGTTGTGTTAATTGCCATTTGCCAATTTCCAGGCGTATTTGGGAGGAATATTGAGAGAGGAGGGCATGCCAGGTAGGAAAATGGAGCTGGGGAAGTGTGTGTGTGTCTTCTTACATATAGACAGCTGTGTGCTGTTTATAGATACACATCTATAGGAAAAGTCTTATTTTTAATAATGAATATTATTTGACTGAACAAATAGGAAGGCAGACGGAACTGGCTAGAAGCAGGCATCGTGACGCATAGGTGGGCGAGAAACCAGCTTTTCCCTTCCCACACACACTGTGTCCTGGCAGAGCGGCTCGGTCTCCGTGCATCCCCTTCCCTGCTGTTGAGCCCCGGTAGCACTGTGGCAACCAACCATCTTCTCTCGTTGCTCTGCCATCCAAATCGAGGGATCCAGGGTAAAGAGGAGATTATCAAAATCTCCAAACCTCCTGCAGTGGCAGGGGAGAGAGGAATTGCTAAACCACTCCTCAGACTTGCATTGCGTTCTCCAATTTTCACTTTTTTGGGCTAGGGTTGTTAGTGAGTTGTTATTACAAATAATATATGATTCATCCATTTCCACTGGCTATTGGGGGAAAAAAAAGATGAGAAAGAAGCAAAGAAACAAGTGCAAATAAGTTAGGAAAGCCAGAAGACAATCTTTGAAGTAAATAAAATGATTTTCATAGGAACCCTGTGTGAATATGATGGGAAGACTGATGCTTACAGATTGCCTTCCTTGGTTTGTTTCTAGCCGAGAGTATAATTGGATCTATAGAAATACTGTCTGCCTCTTTGCTCTTTAAGAGTAAATGGAACAGAAGACAATGCAACCAGCCTAAGTGAAGGTCAAAGCTTGATGAGATCTCGTGGCTGCCCAGCCTCATCTTTTATGCAGTCAGCAAGATTGTTGCTTCTCCAGAGCGCTGCTCCGCTACCGTCATGCTGCCAGGTTAGGACGAGTCTGATCTCTCCTGGCTGTGTGACCTGACGACATACAAGTACATATTTTTAATTCTGCGTCAGCGCCAATGCAGAGATGGAATTGTTGATTTACATTAATGTGAGGCATGGTGGCATCCTTCACGAAAAAGTACACTCAAACCTGTCCTCCCTATTGTAAGATTAACATTTTTCCTTCCACTTTCCAC